TGAAACTGTGTATTAAATGTTATTGGAGAGGTTTTTGAAGGAATAAAGAAAGTTCAGGGTTAAAACTATTTTGCTATTTTTTTCCCAAAGAAAATATATGCAAAGTTAAATGAACACTCCTTCGAAAGTTTTTTTCCATTTACAAATAATTAGATAAAAACAAAGGTAAAAACAGTGACGTATTTTTGTCGCAGTGATATGTTGTGCAACATGGTATCATATGCAATCTTTTCAACGGCTAGTTTGATAGAGTGCTTTTACTTTTAAATTAAACAACCTTAGTATTAAATTTATCACTTATAAGATTTCGTTCCTGAACGAGAGACGTCACGATCCCTGGCCTATTGTGTAGAGCACACAACTTTACTAAACCAATTAAATACTGCATGGTATTTAAAACAGACATAATTAAAAAGAGGGTTCAACATCTTATTGAGCCAATATTATTTGACATATTTATAATGTCTTAAATATGAAGTCAGGTATAATTCTTTCAGAACCAAGCGGAAATAAAAAACATATAAAAGGTGACAACTAAATCTCCAATTTTGAGTAACCAACAATGCAAGCTATTGTGCTGAAAAGAGCTTCGGAAAAAAAAACAGTCCGATGTCTGACATTAGAATGGATTTATGGCATACCATTTGCGTCTAAATCCAATAAAACACGGAGCTTAATTTGACAAAAGAATCTCGTAAATCAAGGACAGATATTTCCTTTGAGATTATAAAATCAAGCTTTTTTCTCTTCTATATATGTATTAAAAGATTTCTTTTAAGTTTGAGATAAATTGTTAGCAGTTATTTATTACAATCCAATAACACGTTTGATTTATTTTTATACAAATTTTATTCTATTTCGCTTGTGCTAGAAACTTTAAACATATACAAATATATGACATAAAATATTAATTTAAAAATAGAAATAAGGAAAAAAAAGAAAGAAAACTTTTTTCTTCATTTCATTTAATTTATTTATCTATTGATTTATATGTTTATTTATTTTTATATACTTAAAATCCTGCTGGATTTGTTATTATTCCAATGCAAGTTGCGTTGGCGCAAGAGCGAATGACCAAATACCTGTTTTGGGAATTGGCTTCATTCGTCAAAAATGTGTCCTAGTTTAGGCATTGCTGTCATTGTATTTTTAATTTTTTTTTGAAAATACAAAGGCAAAGTCTAAGGGCTTAAAGTGACGAGTAAGAGATTTTAAGCTTTTACAGACTGACGCTGACACTGAACTTTTGTACTTTGTCTAGATTAAATGAAGTATTTTGACAAACGTATCTCGTATAAATTCAGACATAATGATATATTTTCTCCGAGATAATGTAATTTTGTCAGGTTTCTTTCCCTGTACAATGCAAATAACACATGTTTTTATTGTCTCTTTAGGCTACTTAGAACTGTCGACACGTTTTTTATCAAGCCCCCTGCCAACGTTCTTTAAGATTCCATTTTCCGAATACCCTTTTTAGAAAATTGACACTCTCCAAATTATTTAAAACACACGCAAAATAACTGTTATCTTCACAATACTGCTATATTAAATTGTCAATATTAAAATTACAATGAATTTCCCAAAATAACCGAGATCGACGATGACGAGAGAATGATCGATCAGTTTTTGTGTCAAAGAATGGTTCATTTATTACCTATTAAGTTCTTACTTAAAATAGTAACATAAATGTCATGTTTGTAAGGAGAAACCAAGGCGGAACGAAAAAGTCTAACATTATTTATATGGCTGGGATAAAATTTCATATAAAGGGCATCAAATCGCTACAGCTGATTTGACATTGAGTTGTTTGAGAGGTTAAATTTGATTAAAAGACACGTCAACTCTGGACGATAACACAGTGCAAAGATTGACTTCAACCTGGAAAATGTTTAGATAACTATTGCATGTTAAGTTTACTCTCCAGTACATGTACACATTTAAAGCAATTGTGTTTATCAATTGGTATGCTTTACCTTTTAACCTTTGTTTTGAGTCAATTAATATAAAACATTGTCTGTCTTACATAATGTGTCTTGTGAGTGATTACACAAGGTAATTATTAACGGATCATCGTGTCACAGCCGATATTGAACCTCTTCATTTTTCTTTTTTCAGGATGATGTTCACGCTGATATGTCAATAGAATTCAATTACTGGAGGCCAATATTGGTGTCAATTCCTCTGAGAATGATAAGCAATATTTCGCATGGTAATTTAAAGATAACAGGAAAGATAAATATACAAATACTATTCATTTTATGTTCCTATGAAGGTTGAACGTATTGGATAACTTTTATGTCGAGAAAAAACTTGTGTATATCTAGTCTAAGAAAATAAAATGTTTTATATTCAATTTGGTTTCTTTTCGTACTTATTCTATATATCTGTTAAATTAAATTAGATAAAAAGTGAAAGCTTTGATTTACTTTGTTATGAGAAGAAATGCAATAAATGAATGTTTTATACAATTCTATCCAATCTGCATGTAGAAAAAAAATAAAATAATGCTCATATTGAACATCGGTAGCTTTCGCAATTGCAACGTTTTTTATTTTGTCATTTAAGTCAGATAACCTTTACACTTAATTATCGAACGACTAACAAACATGACCTTAGTACAAACATCTTTAAAGACAAATGGATTTCCCATGTTCTTCATTAATGAAACTTCAATGAAAGCTATAAAACGAAATAATATATTAGTAGAAGCTTTAAAATCTTTTGTTTGAGAATTCAGTTTTTTCATCAACTCCTATCATGTCGTTTGTCGCAACAGGCATGCAACTGAATTCATTTAAAATTGATCAAATCTATTCTTGAAACAACTGAATTATAAATTGAGTACCTATCTTTAGCACCTTGCTGTATACACCGTCACATAATGAATTTTGCATTACAAGGACATAACAATTGCATGTCTTACGGCAAAAGTGGACCTAACTACAAACAGTTAGCACAAATTGATTTGCAATGTTCTTCATTTACAATGCACAAGTGATTAAAACGATGTTGACATTAAACACAGAGACATACAATTTGGGCTAAAGTTTTTGCCATGTTCTTCATTAATGAACTACAGTTATTACGATTAAAACGAAGTTATCCTGAAATCAAAAGAAATCAGGACATTTGATAGTCATTAACCTTAATTTGATAATATCATTTTACACGGAGACATTCGATTCAGGCTATATACCTTATGCTTTTCCCACAAAAGAATTAAAGAAATACTTATAGTCTAAAAATATGCAGCTTGGTATTCACTCATTCTGCAACAATAAATATATGTAGAAGTAGATTCTCTACGAGACTGTAACACTTAAGCAAGTCCTACCATGTTTGTTGTATCAGTAAGCATGTCATTGATCAGTAATAAAATTGAATGAATCTATATTTAAAACAACTGAATAATAAAACGGTTGTGTATGTTTAGCAATTTGATGTTTACACAGTCACTTGATGAATTGTGCATTACAGATATAAAGTATATTTGTCTTTCGGGAGAAGCTTGATAGTCAGTTCGGATGAATTAATGAAATAGGTGCATTTGAATATAGATTCTGTCTACAATTTCAAGATATTGGTTCACGAATACTCAGTATTTTCTCATGTTTAAAGTCGTAACCTATACCGTTGTCGTGTACATCGCCATAGATACATTTTTATAAATTAGTAATTCATAATTCCCAGATGTAAATTGAGTTAAAGTGTGATCAAATGTAGTTCCGGATGAATAGCAACGATAAACATTAAAATTTGTGTTAAATATTGAACGAGTTAAGTGAAGTGTTCAAAATGTGTCCATATTTCGTAAAATATATTGTTTAAAAAAATAGGGTGCAACAAAGTGTAAGCTAACTTAATTGTTAATTTGTCGTTGACTTTTGTTGAAAGGGACAATCATGAATGACTAGTAATCTGCTGTTTGAGCCACAACTGGTGCATTAGACAAATATTTGTATAGTGAATTATGAGAAGCTTTCTGAAATGCGTTCATCAAGATCGTTAGTATCTGAAAGTACAATTATATCTGATTCGCCTTGGGTTACAAGGAATATCAGTTTAGTTAAAGAACATTCCAGGCCGTTAACAATGCAATGACCGCTTAACTGAGTGGACATTTTCTTACCATTATTAGCTTCAATTGATATGTACAAGTTTTTTTCTGGAATGGCAAACACTAATGTCTTATTCGAATGTGACGTTAATTTACCATTTGTTTATTATAATAATAAAAAATATATATATTGTTATGATAAAAGTTTCTCGTTGTTTTTTAATGTATTTAATGCCAAAGTGTGACTCCAAATTTGCATAGAAAGACACTACATATACTTTAAACCACATTAAAATTTAAACAACTCTAATATCTGCGATATTTAATAAAATATCTTTGTACGGTATGTGTTCAAAACAATAACATTATTTCGAAAGGCTATTCTTAGATAAAAGATAATACTGTGGAATACAGTTTCAGAGTATGTATGAAGACGTGCGTTTTAGTTTATATTATTATTTTACATGATTTGTAGTAAAGTTGGAAATGCTTTTTGTGATTTACGAGCGAGTATTTTTCTAAATTTAGTACGTTTTTTCTGTAGAACCTAATTTACTTTTAACATGAATAAGCTTTGAGTGATTAAAAGCATTTAATATATCGTTACCAACTTAATCATCTAAAGAACAAAATCCATAGACAAGGTGTTATCTTCTGAACCACCGAGATGGCTATTCTTTTCTCGTAATTTGGATTTAATCAGGAATGACAGAATTTACAAGGTTCAAGAAAAGTTCATACATTCACTAGCGGTTTCGTAGAGACATTTATGACGGCTTTTATAAAAATGAAACATATGTAACACTTAAATAATATTTGGTTTTTATTGTTCTAAACAAAGGATTTAATATAAATTATTTGTTTTAAACATTACGCGTACCCATTTTGTCATTTAACATTTACACATTGGTGTTATTTGTAAACATATGTGACGCGCTCAGCGATTTTTGGCCCAATTGAGTTTTTAATCATTGTGAGAAAAACGCTTGCAAAGTCACGCGAATTTTCATCTCTTAATTTTTAGGGTTTCCCTTCAAAACAGGGTATCTTTGAAAGTTTAAAGACTAAAATAAACTAAAAAGAAATAAAAAAATACTTTTTGAACAGCCCTTCTCAGCTTCCACGATAATCATTTCCCAAAAATCTATATTTAGAATAAATACACTGTGTAAACTCAGGAGTCAGGTCAGCGAGTAAACACATGTAGATTCACTACCTTTTACGTCATGTTACTGCATATTTGGAGGTTTAAATAAATATTAAGGTAAGTGCATCTTTATTATTTATGCTATTTTGTTCATTATTTTTTTCTGATATGATGAATATGAATAACCATCGTATTTTTACTTTAAACAATTAATGGGACCATGACACTTGAACTGGTTTATATAAAAAAAACATGGCAGGCATCTAGGTCAGGTCATGACAGACAATTTTTTTGGGATACATTGTTTATTGCACTCGATTTGTATTTGTCATGGTCTTTATAGAAAGTTATTGTTAACCTTTTTTTCTAAATTAGACATTGATAACATAACAAAATAAATTGAAGTCCAGGCTGCAATAAAAGAAAAAAAGTCTATTTTTTTCTACATCACTATGACAAAAAAATGTAACTGGACACATTACATATTTTGCAATTTGTTTACAATGAATGAGCTTGATGTAGATCTACATCAAGAAGATTTATACTGTAGGCCTATAAAATATTTCTAAAAAAGGAAATATATGACAAGGCTACTGTACAGTACTGTAATTATTGACAAATGAATTTCTATTACAATTCAAGATCTTTTTTGTAAAGAAAATGTTATCCCTGTACTGCATGCTGCTTTTGAAATACATTTAATAGATCTAGTACTGTGATTGAAGATGTCACCATAGATAGATATTAAAATGCATTTATTATTATAAGCCCTTTGCCTTTGGTAGTATCTACAATAAATCATATTATATTCACATTACTAATACCACATAGCATATTCTACCAGCAGGGCTTCCATTAAGTTCCAAACATTGGCAGTCAAAGACTGCAAAATGTCTGTAATTGGAAGTCACTTTATAGGTAAAGAAGGAAAAGCATTACATTTTGGAAGCCAAAATCAAGGAGTAAATGACTCCCAAACTTTAACTAACAGAAGCCCTGCTACCAGGATATTTTTAACATTTATGAGCCAGCACTTTTTGCTGATGAAATATTTTGTGTTGTTGTTTTAGGTCTGACAGCCAACATACATTTAAGATCTTCAACTTAGTTCATCAGAGTTTTGAAGTAGATAATATGATTATCCAGCATGTTGGAGCCATTTTCTTCAAGGAAATGTACTGGTAAGTGTTTTGATACTTGGTTTAAAGATCAAATGATTAACTATGATTGTAATCATTGTATACATATGTAAATAACCATCATAAACTGACCATTCTCAACCATTTTTATCAAATAATGATAATGATAATTTTCCTGAATTGCAGTTGAAAGTAATGTATCTTATTTGCAATTTAGCATTTTATATATGATGTCAGATGAGATCTTAAAAATATTGTTTTAAAATTAAATAACTCTGTACAGTAACATGAACTAAATTTTAAGTTTATATTTAGAAATAATGCTGTATTGTTTATGCAAATATTCTGTCAATAATGTTAAGCTCTTAAAGTACATATACATAATTTTCAGAACACATAGATAGTTCACCTATTTGCTGATGAATATACTAAACTATTGTTGGAAATGAGGCACAATGTGTGACATAGTTCTATGCACTTTGAGCACCAGGGTTATGGAGTAAAAAAGACAACTACTTGTATCAACTGTACTGTATTGGTCAAGATAAACACTTCAATTGGGTAAGCATGTATATTTATGCAATATTCCACATTCTCTTGACTTTTTGAAATAAAGAGTGCGGTGTTCCTACCACAATACATGCATATAATGTAGATTTAGATTATTTTACTCATGTTCAAGATTAATGTAACTGCTACATATACATGATATATGGACTGTAATATAATACACAAGAACTTACATGATGAACAAGACCTTATATGAACCCAATAGCTGCGCAACACTAAGGTATACAACAATTTACTTATAGTTCATTTCTGTTCAGTCAAATCATCATATACACTATATTTTTTCATTTATACTTACTTAGGTTTTTGTTATTTCAGTATGGCATGTGAGAAGTCAATGACTTGTCTATGTTTGACAGTATACCAAAAGTGAATTACATTTTCATAGAATTTGTCTTTAGAAGTATCCCTGAAAAAGCTGAATACTGCAGTGGCAGGTGTTACAGTATTTTCACTTAATTGTGAAACAAGTTTTTGCAAGTTTTATATATGAATCACTTTTTGCATACAAAAACTGAAGGCATATGAGGAGAATGAGGAGACATAGTTGTTATTACCCTGTTTGGGTCAACCCTCAATCTGGGGTTGCAAGACTACATTCAAGGACATAAGTGAGCTGTCATTTGTGACTTCCCATGTGATTGAAAGAATCTGTAATTGTAATTGTTTTAAATTCATTGAAATTATTTCAATTTAAAAATATACTTATATGTTATTCATATTATACAATTTAATTAAAATACACTGATCAGAATTATGATTACACTGTCAATATCTGTAACTGAAAATTTGTCAGGAACATAACTAGTGCAAGCTCTTTCTATTTTTTTGGTTAAATTTCTGAAAGACTTTTGAAGTTATTGTGAATACAATTATGTAATGTTATATGGAATATTTTTTTCATAAAATGCAATTATTTTAAATCATTCAGTTATTTTTGCATTTTTTTTTGTTACCATGGCAACCAAAATACACCATTTTTGCAATCAGTGCATTAAAGAATATTTGTTTTGCATTGGATTTATATTTTATATGCTATCATGTTATAGTTGTGCGTTTTAAAGTTGACTAACTTAAGTTATGATATTCACCTTAATCATGGAAAAGTTACTGAAATTCTGAGAATTTAATTCTTATGTTTAAAGTTATTATCAATAACTATTAAAGGGAAAAATGAAAAATCCTTTTTTTTTCTGAAAAGTCTTTAATATTGTTGTCTTTTAATATAATATATGCATTAATTTGGTGATGAATTAATCATGTTAAGTGCAAAAATATTGCATTTGATGATTTTTTTTATTTTTTGTTGCCATGGCAACCGATTTTTGAAAACAAACGATAGTTTTTATATCAAGATATTACATATATTACACTAAGATGAATGATCACTTTATATTTTTTTATTTTATTGTGTATAACTATGGAATTATTTCTAGTTTATATATACCAATAAAAGTTTAAAAAGTATTTTTGTTATGGTTGTGTCATACAAATTAGAATATTTCATAAAATATCAAGTATTTTTAAAAAATAATTGTTTCCAGCTATTCAGCAGATGTTGTTCTACCACAAACTAGTCATAACTCATTTTCGCCCAAATATCACATTTGGGCCAAAAATCGCTGAGCTTGTCACATATTTTATTGATTTTTTTCACTGTATATATAAAGGATATGTTCCGATATTTTTCTCTTGTAAAACTGTGCACGTAAATTAAAAGATGTGAACAGTCGAGCTGCAGTCCTATTACTTTTTGAACAAAATATATGCAATTTCTTATATGTAATATCCATTCTGTGTATTGGAGTATTAACAAAATATATATTTATTTTCATACAGCATTATGCAATAAATACCCGACTTAACAGTATAACAGATAGATATAACATATAAGAAACTATATTTTCCCATTATTCATGTGTATGAGGGTTGTTGACTGCAGCTCTCCTGTTCACATCTTTTAATTTACGTGTGTTACGGCACCATATGTAAAACGGCACCATTTGTAAAATGGTGCACCATATGTCAAAAAATCGGTTTTGTTAATAGCATTTTAAATACTATCTTGAAAAAGCATGCACCAATAAAAGAAAAACGTATCAAACGTGAACACCGCCCGGAATGGTTAACTGCTGAGATAAAATATCTTATACATGAACGCGATTACTATCATAAAGTAGGGAAACATGAACAATACAAATTGCTCAGAAATAAAATAACATCATTGATTAAAAAAAGTAAAAGAGATTTCTTTAACAATGCTATTAAAAATAACAAAGATCCGGCATTTTTATGGAAAAATTTAAAGGACGTTCCAAATCTAAATAAAAAAGGTTGTATTACAATGCCAGACAGACTAGTAACAGGTAATAAAGAAATTTACGGAACTGTAAATATTATAAATGAATTAAACAAGTATTTTGTCAATATCTCGAATGTCATACATAAAACAAAGTTTTCAAATACAAATTTTTCAAAATTAAAAGAAACTTTAGACCAAAAGCTAATGTATCATGAATTTAATATTGAATTAATTACACCGTTTGAAGTAAAACTTATTATTGAAAAACTGAATATTAAAAAATCTACAGGATAAGATGGAATTGGACCAAACATCATCAAATATTGTGGAGATTACATTACACCAATAATTGCATCAATTATCAATAATAGTATTAAATCTAATATTTTCCCAGATGATTTAAAAATAGCTCGAGTTATACCTATTTTTAATATCGGGGGATAAGAATGAAGCAAATAACTATCAAAAAAAAAAAAAAAAAAAAAAAAAAAAACAGGTAGTTCTTTTGATTTACACAATGATGTTAATTGTACTACGCGTAATGTAATTTACCTCATTACATGTAAAGGCTGTAAAAAGCAATACGTAGGTCAGACTAATCAAAATGTATCATGCAGAATGAATAAACATAGATTTGATATAAGAAATTGTGACGTTAATCCAGTTTCACATGTTGCGATCCATTTCGGATCAAACGATAATAAGTGTTCATTGTCAGATTTTTCATTTTTACCTATAGAAATTATAGACAACAACATGGACCGGTTATGTAAAGAATCTTTTTGGATTCATAAATTAAATACTATGATTCCAAATGGACTAAATAATAAAGTATTGTTTGATTTATAAATGGTTACATGAATATTAATATGTTTGTCTATTATCTTATTTTTATTAACACTGTCTAATAGACATCTGTATCACTGTTGATCCATTTTAATTCATGTACCAGCTTTATTTATAGCATAAATATTTGTTTCTACATGTTATCATAGTTTTGCCGCTAAACGCCATAACGTTTTTCGCGCGTTTAACGCGTGTTAAGTTATGACGTCGCTTCCGGTAATTTTATTATGTTTTGCACTGATGAAGGCATATAGCCGAAACGTTTGCAATTAAATTAAATTACTAAATGTTCGTGTTTGTGTGGCTTGTCTGATTATTTTATTCGTTTATACCACACAATGGCATCTCAAGAAGATCCACGACAAATTTTGAAGAAATTAGCGGTAAAACAGATGAAGAGCGCATTACATGCGCGTTTCTTACAAGACTGCATTAATGATGACATCGTACCGAAGGGTCTTCGTCTTTCTTTGAAGGTGAGCGTCGGACCAGATGGTAAAGAATTACAGGATGACATAAACAAGCTACTTCATAAAGTAAGTGTTGAAATTTGTGAACGTATTAAAGAGGACCATCTCCGTCACAATGACAAAACAGATAATATGATTGAAAATACGCGACGTTTATTGCAAAATAAACTTACTACTTCCGATTTCTCCAATCTTGAAAATGAAATTACAAGTTACACAGAAGACAAAAAGAATGACATTGTTATTAAAACATGAAAGGAAACTGACATATTTGAGAGAAGAAATGAGTAAATCTAGATCTACTTTGAATAAAAACGGAAATCATTCCCCTGTCAACACTGATTCCATATCAACGTCGCCGCAAATTGTAAATTATGATAGTAACAGAACAAGACTGGCAAACGGTAAAAAAGAAACAAAGATCATCTAAATCGACAAAGAAATTTACGGTTAACAAAAATGTTAATAATATTTCAACCAAAGCTGCAACAACTACAAAAACAGGTTTAATCCAACCAACCTTAGAAAATCAGAAATCAAAAAACGTGAAAACCCCGGGCACCAAGAAAACATACAGGGAGGCCGTGATCAACGGGGAACCAAAGAATCTGAAAACAAATCAACTGCTACAAAAAATGGACATAGTGTTACAAGAAATAAAGGAAATCGCAATGATAACAACAAAGCAAAATCACGAAGGTTCAAAAAATTCCAGACACGAAATCAATATAAAAAATATAAAAAGCGGAAAAGTCAGATACAACAAGGTAAAAAAACAGTGTTGAACTTATCATCACGCCCAATGTCAGAAACTGAACTGATAGTGCTTGGAAAAGGGTTAGGATTTTGTCCACGATATAATTCGCATGATAAGGTTCTATTAGCGGAAGAAGTTTTTCATTTTTCAAGACGTTTAAGACTAAAAGAATACTTCAACGATTTGTATAAAAATGATAACAACGAAATCGATGATAATAACCAAAAAGAAGAATATCAAAATTTGCCGTTCTATAATAAAACATCATCTACCTTTACCCCACCTAGCGGGAGAGACATTTATTTGGATTTTTATATTGAGGCTATAAGTAATGAAATTATGCACTCTTCTAAACAAAAACGGTTTCGTCCTAATATATCCAAACAAGAACTCCAGTCGCTTAAAGACCTATCTCGTGATACAAATATTATTATCAAAAAAGCAGACAAATCCAATACCATCGTTATAATGGACAAACAGAAGTACATCGACGAATTGAATCGACAACTGAACGATGAGCGATATTACAAAAAAGTAGAAAAGGAACAACATAATTTGACTAAGTTAAAAATAGAAGAATGTGTAAATGAAATACAGGAAAATAATGTAAGCATTACTAAACAATTTGACATGTTCCCGTCTACTATTCGTACACCTCAATTTTACATTTTACCGAAAACGCATAAATCATATGATGAGAAACTTCCTCTTGGATACCCTGGTCGTCCCATTGTTTCAGCATGTAGCTCCAGTACTGAGAACATAGCGAAATACCTAGACTTTATTTTAAATCCTTATATGCAAAGTTTGCCTTCCTATATCAAGGATACCACCGACTTCATAAATAAGGTTCGTAATCTTAAATTAAACAAAGACACCTATCTAGTTACCCTTGATGTTTCATCATTATACACAAATATCCCTCATAATGAAGGTATTAAATCTTGTATATATTTTTTACAGAAAGATAAAGGAAACAATAACATCAAAGCTAATGATATAAGGAAATTGTTAAATATTGTTTTACATAATAATTGCTTTGAGTTTAACGATCAGAGTTATTTACAAACCATGGGCACAGCAATGGGAAGCCCTATGGCACCTTCTTATGCTTCATTATTCATGGGTAGACTAGAAGAGCAATTTCTTAACTCTACTTATGTAAAACCTGATGTCTGGTTACGTTTCCTAGATGATATTTTTATGATTTGGAATGATTCTTTGGAAACGCTTAACTTTTTTATAGATTCCTTAAATAGTTTCCACCCGAATATTAAATTCACTTACAATATTTCTAAAAGTTCGGTACCTTTTCTTGATGTTTCTGTATCTAAAGACGTAACAGGAAAAATTGTTACCGATATATTTTGCAAACCTACAAATATGCATTTGTATTTAGATTTACATCCTCTCATCCTTTATCATGTAAGCGTGGTATCCCGTTTAGTCAAGCTAAACGTTATAGACGTGTCATTTCCGATGACGGTACTTTTAAGCAGTCTTTAGATACGTTAAATAGATATTTTTCTGATAGAAATTATCCTAAATCTATTATTGAGAAAGCGTTTTCTAAAATTGAAGGCATGTCCCAAAATGATGCTCTAAGTCCTGTCGTTAAAAATACTAGTTCAATAATACCTTTTACTGTATGTTTTAATACATCTCTGCCTAATATTGGTGAAATCTTAAATAAATATTGGGATCTATTACTTTTGTCTGATAAGGTAAGCGTTAAAAATATACATAACAAGTTCAAACCTATTTTAGCATATAGACGTCATAAAAACATTCGAGATTATCTTATTAGAAGTGCTTTACTTGATCGCACATTTTTATCTAGCCAATGTTTACGAAGTAGATGTTCACATTGTAACAATATAATTGTTGGCTCCCAATTAAATAGCAGCATAACAGGTAGTTCTTTTGATGTACACAATGATGTTAACTGTACTACGCGTAATGTAATTTACCTTATTACATGTGAAGGCTGTAAAAAGCAATACGTAGGTCAGACTAATCAAAATGTATCATGCAGAATGAATAAACATATATTTGATATAAGAAATTGTGACGTTAATCCAGTTTCACATGTTGCGATCCATTTCGGATCAAAAGATAATAAGTGTTCATTGTCAGAATTTTCATTTTTACCTATAGAAATTATAGATAACAACATGGACCGGTTATGTAAAGAATCTTTTTGTATCCATAAATTAAATACTATGATTCCAAATGGACTAAATAATAAAGTATTGTTTGATTTATAATGCGTTACATGAATATTAATATGTTTGTCTATTATCTTATTTTTATTAACACTGTCTAATAGACATCTGTATCACTGTTGATCCATTTTAATTCATGTACCAGCTTTATTTATAGCATAAATATTTGTTTCTACATGTTATCATAGTTTTGCCGCTAAACGCCATAACGTTTTTCGCGCGTTTAACGCGTGTTAAGTTATGACGTCGCTTCCGGTAATTTTATTATGTTTTGCACTGATGAAGGCATATAGCCGAAACGTTTGCAATTAAATTAAATTACTAAATGTTCGTGTTTGTGTGGCTTGTCTGATTATTGCAAATAACTATCGACCGATATCAATTTTGTCAACTATATCCAAAATATTTGAGCGCCATATTGCCAAACAAATACACTCATTCTTTGAAAAAAACGAACATAATTCATAATAAACAATAAGGATTTCGTAAAAATCATTCATGTAATACTGCACTCATTAGTTTAATAGATACTTGGTTAAAAGATGTTGACAGTGGGAAAATTATCGGGACTGTATTCTTAGACTTAAAGAAAGCCTTTGATTTGGTTGACCATGAAATACTTTTGCATAAACTTAAACTTTATCATTTTTCTGAAAATGCCGTTAAGTTTTTAAGTCATATCTTTCTTACAGAATACAACTGGTTAAAATAGGTAATCTTCAATCTCAGCCAATGAAAATAATTTCCGGTGTTCCACAAGGCTCAATATTAGGACCTTTATTATTTCTAATATACATAAATGACATAGCTTTCATAGGTAATGATATAAAAATTGATTTATACGCAGATGATTTTACTCTTTATGAGTCCGGAGAAAATATATCAAAAGTAGAAATAAAACTTCAAGATCATTTAAATAATATTGCCAAATGGTGCAAAATAAATAATATGGCCTTAAATCCAGATAAATCAAAATGAATGGTAAGAGGAACAAGACAAAAAGTAAATATTATGAGAAAATTAATTCTTAAGATAAATGAAATAGCTCTTGAAAATGTAACTGATCAAAAAGACACATTTTCTTACATGTCTTATTATGGCATGAACATTTGGAACAATATACCTTAAAATCGTAAATCTAAAAAACCTTAAATTTTTTAAAAAAATAAAAGCAATTTTTGGTTCATATGATGAATGAATGGTTGAATGAATGAAATAAATATATGAACGAACGAACGAATGATGCAATATACGTATATGTTTAAACAAATTGTTGAGTGTCTGTCGAAAGTATATGAGTTGTAATATTCTAAAAATTACATATTATACATTCATTTTTCTACCTATGCATATCCTGTTGTTGTTGTTGTTGTTGTTGCTGTTTTCTATTTCAGAAGGCCACATTGGAAATAAGATATATATGATTGTTATTGTATGTTCTTAATGTGTAACCTTCTTTAAATAAAGATATTATTATTATTATTATTATTATTATTATGTTTCTTCATGAAACTTAGCATTTTTAAGTTACACTTTGTTCCCCGTTAAACCTTTCCTTGACGTTTGTTTAATATTTATCAAAAACTGTTCGGGAGTAGGTTATTGACATTACATTATTCTGCCTTCATTGCCTTTTGTTAATTGATACGGATCCGTACTGCCAGTTACGCTGATTGATCTCCAAAATACGGAGGGGCAAACATACAATGTAAAATAACGATTGAAAGTAAATAACTGGGTGCTATTTATCTCGATAGGAAAACTAAACCTCAAGAAACAATTGCCAACACTTTCATATTGTATTGACTTTAGAACGGAAGCTATGGTATGAGTCCATATAAAAATGAAAACTGGTGAATAAAGTAACGTTTTACACGTCATAATAACAAATACTCCTTTAAACCATATTTTAAAGACTCCCTACATATTTTTTCGGAATGTTCCATTTTAAAAACAAGAGCTTGCATGATGGAATATTCTGTTTCGGCTAGTGTTACCATCTCTATAAACGGCTGCAGGCTAGATAACCCTTTCACACCAAGGTTAATGTCCATTCCTGAAAATATCAAATATACGTCTTAAATATCAACGAAGAACAATACAAAATATAATAGCAGATAAGGCTTTAAGTGATGAAAAATATTTTATTTATCTTATATTCTTTTCTAAACATGTTGTTGTTTTTTAAAAGTAATAATTATTAGGATAAACACATACAAGGAAATACATTTTATTTTGTTATTATCATTACTGCGTGCAAAATACATTAATTATGTCAATTTGAATGTTATTGATATATTTAGACACTTTATTGCATAAATACTTCGTGTTACTATTTACCCCGCCAGCCATGTAAATAAATGAAAATGAATCAGTTGTAGTAACACGTTTAATCAGTGAACAAATTATGTTTTATATTTTGCATTACGGTATTTAATTACAATATTTCTCTTTAGAACAGATAGGACATATAATATACCTGTATTAAAGTTATATGATCTAGATGCATCATCCTCGCATAATCGTATTCAATTACAATATTCGTATATAGAATAAATATGAAAATTGATATAATACCTGTGTTATAGTTATATGACATGGATGCTTCACCCTCGGTTATTATAAAGAGATCACAGTCAGATATATAAGCGACATTTTCCATTCTTTGTGATAACTTGATCTCGTATAATCTCGGACTAAACTTCATGTTGTTAAGACAATACGAGTCACTGATACTCGCCTCGTCTGATCGTTTATATATGTTGTAACATTTTAAAAATATATTCCTCATCATCTGTAAAAGAACGTAATACAACATTATAATAGTAATAGAGAGTATATATATATCATATATTATAGTACAAAATCTTCATTATTTAAATCTATCCATCAGGAGGATAACAGTTTAAGGTATAATTAATCACCTAAAAAATACAATATAGAAACCATTAAAAAGAAAGCATTAAAATCAAATTTGTTTGTTGATATATTGTACTTTATAGAACAACATACATTGACAAAAAACAGGTTATACTCACTGACTTATCTAATACTGTTTTCAATGCCCTGACAATATTAGAGTCGCATTTATTTACAGCTAATGCCATATATCTACACCTGGAATTTCCAAATAGTTTTAAAGTGAATTTAGAACTCCCATTCTCCTCAAATGCAGAAGAAATATATGCAGATAAGTCAAAAGAAAGATTGTGAATACGCTTCTCTGGTCTTGGTACTAAAGTTTCATTGTTTCTTTCAACTGCAGCCACAGCTCCAAATATTCCACTAGAATGAATGACACATTCATCACTGAGTCCTAATGTATGTGAAGCAAGACCTGTAGACCCATCACAACATATAACCAATTTACGACCTGGGATATTGTCTATATCGTCTCTTTTTTCACGAGCAAACTGTAAAATACAAAAACTATCCTTTTTATTTCATGTATATTATGTACAAATGTACTAATATACCATGCTTTTCAACAATTGCTTATATTTTCAAACATTGGGAAAAAATAAACGCTTCAAACTATGATTTCATGTCAAATCCAATGTTACAAGTTCGATTTGTTATAATTATTATGCTAAATAGTGTTTAATTTTAGAATCACTTTCAAAACTGTGAGTTTTCGAATGTTTATTTCTTTTTCCTTAAGACTTCTGATTTGATAAAGGCTGAACTATTAAAAAATACAAAAGTAAATTATTAATGACCAATAAAGATCCCTGATCTTAAATATCAAATGGTTGTTTCTTTTACTGGTAGGTAAAAGGCCCGTTATGCTTCAGAAATGCTTTTATTTTTGCTGCTCAAAATCTTTTTACTTTTGGTGTCCTGTTATATTCTCAAAATAGGTTACTCATTGGCTTATTATCTTAACCATTTGTTTTGCATCTAGTGCTTGTTGGCAATCTTTGCAGTTATACGGATTCAGTATTTTGTATATTTGTATGGAACTCAAAATACTACTGTAACATTGTTTACAGTTTGCTACGTTTCTGACATACAAGTCTATATTCAGCACTACTTTTTTCAAGTGAAATGCATTTAACATACTCTAAAATCATTATCTTAACGTAATAAAACTGATGTTTCAAATTTCTAAATAAGATAAAAGTTAATTTCATACTTTTAAAGTATCTTTACCTCTCGCAAGATGAACAGAAGTAAACTATTAAAAGTGTTTCGGTAAGTATGCTACCTCTTATATTTTATACTTAAACGTCCTGACTGAAAGCTTCCAGACAGCCTCATAGTATCGATTCGCTGCATTTGGAACACAAATGTCAATGGATTCAATGAAAGCCGTGTTATATTCATAAAATACATTGACCTTGACGACAAAAAATTGAAATATCTATTATTTAATATAGCGTAGCGAATATTTTTATGACATAAACTCATTAATGAATTTGTATATAATCTCAGTATAAAAGCAAATGTGAAGGCCTACCATATGTGTCAACAAATTTTGTTTGAGAGAAAATTTATTATTATTCGACAAATGAAACTTTTAGAAACCTAAAAACACTTGTCAAACAGTAAAAATATTGAAAATATACAAAGATTATGTTTATCTTAAAAATTGTCAAAAACTGACTTTTGATAGAATAACAATTTGAAAAATATGTTTGAAATAATACAGTAAAACAATAATAAGTCAGCAAAGATTTTCATTTGTTTATTTCAATATAATGCGTTCGAACAATGCTCCTGATGGTTTAAATAAAACAATAATATGATTTCAACACTGACCCAAAATTAAAACTGCATTTTATTGTAACAGGAAATGCTTACCTTAGTTCCAAAATGCATCGTGATTTCTTTAGAATAAAGCGGCAGTATGTGTATAATATATTCCAAGTAAATTCCAACGCGTGTATAAAAGCACCCTTCATGCCATAAACCTTCCAAATTATCAAAATCTACCCCATAACGCCGGAGAAAAGACACTTGAGCACTTTGTAATGCAATTTGATACGTCCGCTTTTCAACATTAGATTTACTCTGTTCTTCATATAGCACCAATTTCTTTACTCGTTTACAATGAACGGCGACAAGGGCTGATGTCAAACCTATAGGTCCAGCTCCTACAATTATAACTGACAATTGTGCATTATTCCTGCGGATTTTATTAAGTATTATTTTGCTCCCCAAGAAAACTGCCACAGCTGAGAATGTCATGACAAAATAAATGGAAATGTTCATAGAATGTATCTGCAGTATCTTGGCAATTTCATCCTCTGTACATGTCTTAGTCACTTCTCCCAGAGAATTGTTTATATAAAATCCAAGGTGCATTTTTACGACAAATATATCGATATAACATGCATGTCTAACTTACATACCTTAAATACAAAAATAAACTTATTTTCTCATTTTTATACCCCTAAAACATTTATGTAAATCTATGCATTCCCAAATAAATTTTTTATCACAATTATATCTGCAAACATTCCAATTATTTTACTCCACACGAATGGTTCTACTCCTTGATCAATATCGTTGATCTTTCAAAACGTGAAAGAGAAGGAAAATGGTAAATATTTAGTTGCTTATGTCTGAAATGGAAAAACAAAATATAAGATTAAAGTATTTAGCGTTCGAAATGGGGTATTTAATTTATGCACTTAACCTTATTTCATATGTAAACAGTTTTTATATCGATTGGTAGGGTATCTATCTTGTGCACTTTCATCCTATTTTCGGTAACAGTGATATATTTGTTTTTCATCTCATTTGTTTGACCTACAATGTTTAGCCTAATCATTCACACACAGATTTACCATCACCTTTGAAACGCTATATTTAAGATATTCCAAAAATGATTTCATTAACTTGTAAGTTAAATCTTTGTTCAATTATTTTGACGTGAAATGACATAAGAACTTCTACACAGAATACTGTAAATGTCTTCAATGACGAGACTACTGTAATTTGTATACGCAGCTCAACATTCTATTATGATATTATTGTTTTATTACCAATCCTATCATGTTATTTATTAGTAATGAAAAAAAGTATAATTGTATATGTCTCCCTTGAGTTTTTATCTGAAAAAGGTATGTTTATAATTAATCATAGATGTTAAATTTAAATGGCAGTTTCGAATCAAATTTAAACATATTTGGTCCGTGTTATATTTTTTTTTCTAAAAGAGAAGTCGTAAAGCGTTTAGAAATAGAAATTGAACGATTAAGCTGCAAGATTGAGCTCTTAGATATTTGGTTAAATAAGAAAACGTGTTCTTGTGGAAACTCTATGCCACACATTCGATATAACATATGGTTGAAATAACATGTATTATAATAATCATTAACAAAAGATAAAAGACATTTTAAAAAGGTTCAAAAAGGTTCATTTCATGAGATTATTGAAGATTATTTTCCAAACATTACAAAATTCATGATTGTTATAATCTTATATTCATTCCGATCAAATGACTTTCGGCAAACAGACAGATGAGCAAATTTCTAAGATAAAGATTATACATGTACAAATTTATAAGCATATGATATTTTGTAAAGATCGGATATACTGATAAATAAATTTGAAAAACGGATTTTACTTAATAAAATATCTTTTATCAAATTGGCTCGAGGTAAGCCAAATAACTTTGATGTGTATATAGAACAAATTAAAATGTTAGTACAACAGATTTCTCCTTTTTTCAGATTATTTCATTAATCTCACATATTTTATTTTACAAACACTTAAAGTTCCTTTGTTAACATTTTACCTATCCGTTTCAATATATCTATAAGAAATACAACAGGTATGTGATAATTAGTTATATGAAGACTGACTAAATAAAAGGAAAATTTAGAAAACATACTCGATAACTTAAAATTTTATGGTATTTACGTGTAAACGATCAAAACATTAACCAAATAAGCTTTTTTGGGCAAGGGCCCAAGATAATGTGCAAAAACGTTTGGCCAAACCCTTTTGTATATTGTGTAATTAATTATGTTGATGTAAAAAATTGATGTATATTTATATATGCAATAAAAATATTATTAAACTATATAACTAAAATTAGCTGATTAAGAAACCAACGGACATTTTCTATTAAAAAAACATGACCTCCTTTTACAAAACTAAGTAATCAAATCTGCATAAATAAGTAATACTACACCCATTAAACATAAAAACAAAATACCTAACCATAAACATTGTATATCCATATCACAAAAGTATTTAACCACAGATTATTGTATATCCCATATTCAATCGGATATCACAGGAATGAATGAAGGTTCTATAAATGTGTGTACTGTTTTATCAGCCTTTCGTTCACTCTTTCAGTGTTTTTATCGGATTCCGATACAACCTCTATAGCATGTTAGACAGCTATGTTTTAAAATTTGTTTAATTTGTTCTTTGATTATACGTAACGTATTGGATTGCATCGCATTGGACAACTAATACAGAATCGTTATCCTTATTGCAAGACGAACGATTGTTGTTTTTGCCATAACGTTGATATCTAGATTAGTTATTTAGTTAATCTTTCTGAGTAATTACGTTCTTAGTAAATGTCACCAGACTACATTTCAATTTAAATCTTGTGAGACAAATAAAATAAAATTGTTGTCCAATTTTGTGATAAATATTAAATGGAAAATACACCATTTAAAAGATGAACTGGTTGCATGCATTCTATCATTTTATTTTTGTAATAATAATGAAACATTTACTAATTTGTATAATTTAATCCGGACCCCGAATGACATCCCTAATAATTTTGTACCTATAATCTTCACGCAAATGGAACTTTATCGACATTATAATCTGATGTGGCTTGACAAACGCCAACCAAAGCTTTTATCTTAGTAAGTTAGAGTAAAAATGGTTAAGGTATCTTTGAATAAGACGTTCTCGTAAACTTTATCATAATAATGATTAATTATGTAATATGCAAAGGACGAACTAATTTACATATATCTTTCATTCGTCGCAAGCAAGTTCTCTTGAGATCTTGAGGGACATTCACGTTTTAGAATTGATATGTCTAAGCACAGAAATACAACATCTCTCTTATATGTTAGCTTAAATTGTCATTCCTCATTGCCATCCTCTCTGTCTGTCTTCTGCTGTAACTGATTGTTTCAACAGGACTCATTTGATTAATGACAGTCCAGTCCGCTCCTGAAGCAATTAATAATACAGTAAATAGAACTAAACATAAAGGGTGAACAAAGTAAATCAGGATGTTACCGGGGATTAAAAAACCATACATTCTTGAAATGTTTCCATTCATAATACATGTACGTTAAAACATATATTTCCTAGAGGTCAACGTTATCTCTTTGTGGTAATGATTTATGTTCCATAAATAGAACGTTAACAACTACACAAAAAAATGAAAATATAATGAAACTAGTATATTTTATACATGTGCAGTTATCGTATAAGCTTCCCATTAAACAATCCTCATTTTTTTTAAGTTTGTATTGAGGTCAAGTATCAAAACATCATATTTTCCTTAAATAAGTGAACATATTAAGTTTTACATAAGGCTCATGTTGAGCACCAATGCGATTATTTTTATAATCATAATGTTTTATGATCCTGGCGGTCCTGATAAATTGCATTTGCAATCAGTTGTTCAAAGGTTCTTTTCTAAACAACAATGTTACATTTACAAACACTTCAACTGTACAAACTCCTGATGATATCCTTCAAAAGCAGTTTTTTTATCATGCACATTTGTAGAATCATGAATATAAGACACAATTTAAACATATAACGTTTATTTTTCTCTTTTTAATGTTGTTTTTGGCAATAAAGAGTAAGAATCACATTGACATTTAAAAACCATTTTTCGAAAAAAGGTTTTTAAAAACAATTTAAAAGCAATATTTTGTATGGACATGTATTTTCAATTTTTGAGATGCATTTGTTTGTTCACTTATCTTTAAGACTTTAATGAAACAATCAAGTATATTTACGTTTGCAGGATGAACATTCTACAAAGAACATGAAATTGATGGCTTAATAAACACTATTTTATAATAGACGTAAAAGACCATGTGTGTATAGGCTCCAACAAGTTAACGAATTAATATCTATAGATAATATCTTTAAAAGCCAATAACATTTTAAATAAGTGATACAATAACATTAATTCAATCAAAGTAAAAAGGCGTGTTTTATCGGTAATATTGAATATTGCTGAGTTATTTCCTATGCTTTGAAATTTAAAGCATGGATGATTGGATTCAGCAAAATGAAAAGTTGAATCTAAGAAGGTCTTTGTTTCAAAATCGATGCGAAATTTAGTACTTGTTTGAAGTTTTTTGTGACACTTTCTAATGGGAAATAACAACTGTATCTGCACAACATGACCACATGGTAATCGTTCGTTTAAGAGTGTTCAGATTAACTTGTAACTTTTATTGGCTATGCATTCTACTGCCATTTTCACGGCACCCTCTGTCTCTTTTGGCCTGTGTCATTGAATGGGTTATTTGTAAAGTTCATTTCGTTGACATTCCGTTCGGAAATCTTGTAAAATACAATTTCCGACAACAACTCAATTAGCAATGTTACAGCGCGAACAATCCTATTTTCTGTGGTCAAATGTCTCAGTTTATAGGATTTTTACTGCCTTGTAAATTGTATTGAAAATGTTGAAAAATCCAGGCCTTTAATTGACTCATTTCCCCGACAGATTTATTAACTCATTTTTAAGCTCCCAGTACGTTAAACTCTGTTATAAATGTGTTCAAACGTAATTAACAATTCCGTTTAATTTTTGTCACTGTTTTTAAACTTTTTTGAAAACATTGTTTTTACTGTCAATTTACTTTACATTATCATTTTAGTTTTTGAACAACCTAAATGTAAAGATATTGAAATGGTATAAAAAATAATGAATCCATAACCAAATGATCGGGAATATACCTATACAAAAATGTAAAACAACCTTGTCAGGAGGCAGGGGCATTGAAATATAAAATGAGCCGCGTCACGACAAAACCAACATAGTGCGCTTGCGACCAGCATGGATCCAGACCAGCCTGCGCATCCGCGCAGTCTGATCAGGATCCATGCTGTTTCGCTTACCAAAACTCTATTACAGAGTAGAGAAACTGATAGCGAACAGCAATGGATCCTGATCAAGACTGCGCGGAGGGCAGGCTGTCTGGATCCATGGCTGGTTGCAAACCAAACTATTAGTTTGGTTTTGTTCGTGACGCGGCTCAAAAGGTCTCATTGGCACTAGCATACATAATGTCACTTAAGTAAATGCTTGTTTTTTTCACAATGAAAAGTTAATTTGGGAAAACAGAACAAAATTCTTATACATTCAAATTGTTAATGAACCTCTGTATGTTTATAAGTCAGTATCAAAGTAAGTCAAGTATTGC